TTTCCTAATTATAATAAAAAATAAAACCTGTAGTGGTGATTAAATACCACCAAAATAAAGCTCTATCTGTCCCCAAAAAATTGTATAAAATTAATTTCAGTACAGCGTTGCATGACGTAATAAACGTCAGTCAAAGTATCGCAGCGCTGAACACTGAAAAATGGCCTGGCCAGGAAGGGGGTCTAAACACCTTGTCTTGAAGTGGTTAAGAAAGATCATTCAAGCAAAGCTGACTAATCAACATCTCTAACTGAAAAGTCTTGCGATGTTGTTATCCCCACATTTTTTGCATTGGCGAAGACCGCATGGTCAATACCACAGTATTGGTCACAAGACCAAGTATAGGAACAATATTATTGCCAATCATATTTTAGTTCCGTTTAGACAAATAAACAATAATTCTGTTTGATGTTGGTTAGTGCATAGTGCTCTTGATCTTATTTAATAAGCCTGATGGATTGTTTGGGACTTATTCGGTCTTATTTATTAGGATGGTGGAAAGAGCAATAATGCTGTGTACTCAGATGTGCTTATAAAATGTAATAAGTAGAAACCATTATCCGCACTACCAGGTTTGCCATATGTGATGAGTTTGACTTTTTTTTTGCATTTGATGTACTACTTCTTTGTAGACTTTGTGAAGTATGAAAACATGTTTGCCAACTTTCCTGCTCTAGGAATTCATCATTGACTATTACTAAAGAAAGCCGATGTCCTTCGCTTTAAAGTAACAATTTATGCTTTGATGACCAGACAGATACCGGTAGTGATAAACATCGATACATATTTTGGATAGTAATTTAAATTGTATTTAGAGCTAAAGAATGTGTTTTTAAATAAAACAGGTAATGTGTATTCCACAGTGTTTGAAAAATGCTTCACTTTTTCTCTTGCACAAGATGTTAAATGAGAGAACGGTATAAACTATGTGACATACATACTTTGTAACCAACTTAAAATTATAAATAATCCATATTATGCCTGCACTTTTGAGTGATTAACTGTTCTTTGCAGTACTGGAATACTGTTTTATGTGGAAATCATTTGTCCCGATGTTTGCATGAGGTTTCTGCAGTTATGTTTCTTATACCCCAATTGCATAATGTTAAACTATATTTTGCTTAATTGACTCTGTATGCACTTTTATTGGCTAGAACTGGTCAGATCAGGTGTAGCTATATTAAAGTAAATCAGTGTCCAGGCTATGCATGCTAAAGTATTTGCATATTCTGAACAATCATTAAGGACCTTTCACACCATTTGGATTTGTTACTGCACGTAAATTGCATTAAGGAAGCAGATTCATTAGAATTGGCTGCCTAACGCACCAAAAAAGAAGCATTTATGCCAGAACAGTTCCCCCAACAGTCCCCTGTAAAATAATAGCTGTCATCAGCAGCTGACAAGCCACTGATGACAGCTATTATCTACAAATTTGGGCTCCTCTGCCGCCAGCATCTGCAGCCTCTCCTGCCCTCTTCATGCTTCTCCTGACCTGTATGGACTGAAGCAGTGGGGATCCGTGCAAAAATTTAGCGATGCAGCTGGCGGGGGAGGGAGCTGTCATCCAGGATGGCCGAGCAGTGAACGGGGAGGAGAGTGGAGACACTGTCATCCTGTCAGTTTCAGGATGACAGGGGCTCTGTGTGTAACCGAGCAGAGGATCGGTAAACATTTGTGATGGTTACTGATCCTCTTTATGCAGAGCAAACACTGTTTGTAAACAACTGGGGACACTTCCTGTTCATTTATGATTTGCTTAATGGGGAGAAGCACTCACTACAGATGATTATACCATTCAGAAGCTGGTTGATAGTAAATATTTTACTATCACTAGTTTCTGAATGAATGGGAAGCCTTTGTACTGAGTGCTTTCCATTCATTTTGAACAGAGGCTGCAGATAAAGAGATTGAGGACTCTGTGTCCTCAATTTCATTTTCTATTTCAAAAGGGAAATGTCAGGGGTCTATTTAGACACCTTAAATTTCCCTGAAGCCCCCCAACAGTAAAATAAATTAAATAAAACACCGCGCACCACACACACGCGCACCACACACACGCGCACCACACACACGCGCACCACACACACGCGCACCACACACACAGGCGCTCAACACGCACGCACCACACGCACCACATACACGCACCACATACACGCACCACACACACAAGCAATAGTGTGCACCATATTGTGGTGTACGGCATGCACATGCCCTGCAGTGAGTTGTTAGAACGCATCACAGTGCATTAATTTTTTTTCTTTTCAAAATAACATTAATTTAACTGTGGCAGCACATGGCAAAGCATTGTGACACACTGCTGTGTGTTGTGATATGCTGTGTTGAAATTAAATGTACGGCTGTATAATTTTATCACAACACACACACACACCAACATAGTGCACAAACGATTTTTAACATGAGTCGCTTATTTACAGTTTCGCGTTACTTAATTTTTTTTTCCATTTCGCAAAAAGACACAATTTAAAATTCACAAATATTTGTTATTTTGTAACTTAATATAGGTTTTTCTTTTAGTGTTAGCCAAAAAAAATGTTGTGCAATGTTACTGATTTTAGTGTGCTTTATCAATTTAATTGTGTATTTTTTTTAGTTTAACCCCTTCGTGACTGACGACGTATAGTGTACGTCGCCAGCATCGGGGCTGTTTAAACAGATTCAATAGACTCTGTTTAAACTTGTAAAGCCGACTGTCGGCTTTACAACAGAAGCGATTCTGGCGACTTACCTGTCGCCAGATCGCTTCTGTGTCCCGTAGAAGGGGCCGCCCCCCCGCCGGACACCGCCGCCATGCTTCCCGGGCTCCGTTGCCCCTCCTACAGGCCCGGGACTGGCTTCCTTGGTGTCCGCGGGGAGCTGGGGGACACCAAGGAAGACGGTCCCTGGGCTGTCAGTTCTGGGCTCCTGCAGCTCAGCTATAAGTGCCCCGCCCCCGTGAGCACGCGCGTCGCCACGCAAACAAGCGTCGGGTGCGCCTACGTATGAAAACGACAAACGCGCTACACATGTTGGGTATCACCGCGCACGCCGGAGTGAGAGCAATAATTCTAGCGCCAGTATTTTGGGGTATCTCTAAATTGATGACCTGTGGGGGCTTTTAAAGCGTCTTCTGTGGACTTTTTGGGGTACTGGGGTTTTTCGCCGTTTTACGGATGCACGCAATTTGTAACCTGGGCATGTTGGGTATCGTTTTACTCGTTGTAACCTCATCTTTTATATTTCATTAAAAAAATGGGTATTTTGTTGTGTTTTGGGGCATTTAATTAAATTTTTCACTAAATATTGGGGTTTAATAAGGAGTTGCGCTAATATTGCGCAACATAAAAATTTGCAACTACCACCATTTTATTCTATAGGGTCTTGGCATTCAGAAAATATATAATGTTTGGGTGTTTTAAGTTATTTTCAGGCCTAAAATGTGGAATATAACATGGGTGCAAAAAATGAAAAAAAAGGCCTCAGTCATGAAGGGGTTAATATTGCTTTGGTAAACATTTGCGAAATTATCGCAGGACCTACAAAGTTGGTAGCACCATCTTTTTTTCTACCGGGCCTGTGCTTTCAGAAAATATATGGTTTGGAGGGTCTTTTACAAACGCTAGCAATGCAGCAGTATACAATCAAAATAATGGTGAAAGTTGCAAAAAAGGTGTGATCAGCTGAGGTGTAAAGCGTTGCGGAGGGCTTGGCAGCGAAAGTGTTAAAGTTCACAGCAGAGGAACACAAATCTCTGCTCTCTTCCTTTTTTTGTTGTTGATGGAGAACATAATTGTTGCAGCCTGCCAGCCTTCTAAGGTAAACACACAGCAGGTGTTTTTAAACTATATAAACACCTGGAGCCTAAGGATCCTTGAGCATGAATTACTTCACACTACATGCAGTTAGAAAGGTCAGGGATGTTATGTTTTAAAGCTGTTTTACTGTTTGTTATTTAAATGTGTGCACACTTAAAGAAGAATTATAGTGTGAGTAAAATACACTCATCCTCATAATTAGAGCCGACGTGTGACACTGAAGCTGTATTGATCGAGTAGTGAGTGATCACATACCGCTGAGCGCTCACTTCCCACTCTTCTTTTTTTTACTTTTCAAAAGATTTTATTTGGTTTTCAAAAGAACATTTTTTTCCACAATAAAACTGGTGTGTATATTTAGTTACATACATGTATAGTGACGGCATACAAACATACGGAGTATTGTAAAAACGTGTACAATCTCGAGTCGGCCATCCTAGATATTGGCCGTGACTTGGGCGAACATGAAAATAAGACGATAGGAATTATCTATCAGGTAAGTAAGAAGTCATTGACATCGCCTGGATCCTTAGATAGAATTAGTATTTCCAGGATGGGGGGTAAGAACAGTAGAGAGGAGGGAGGGAGAAGGAGGGGGGTTCAGAGTGAGCGCTACCAGCAAGTTTCACCATCATTGTCGCCGTTGGTGGGGGTCGGTTGGGGCCTATATCAAAGCGACAAAAGTTGTTAAGCGAACGACGGGGGTAGATAGTGTATGACCCATGGTTCCCACTGTTTTTCGAATTTGGGCATGTAGTCCAGAATGCGGGCTGATAGTTTTTCCGTTATAGAACGCCCAGTGCACTTTATTTTTCATTGCTGTTATACTTAGTGTTTTCGTCAGCCAGGTTCCAGCTATGGTGCGTTTGGCAGCAGACAGTATTTGCAGCATTAGTTTAAATTGTAAAGTAGTGATACCTATTGGTTGAACATTAAGGAAAGCTTCCTGTGGCATAGGTGAGATATGTTTGTTTAGTGTGACTGAGATAATCTGGAAAACCTTCCGCCAAAAGGCGGCTACAACTGGGCATGACCACCACATATGATATGTACCGCTGTCACTGCATCCCCTGGTGCAAAGGCCATCACATTCCGGCACAAAGTGTGCCGCCTGTGTGGGCACAATATACCATCTGAGAAGCACTTTGTAGTTAGCTTCAAGAGTCAAAGCATTTTTGGAGCATGATTTTGTGCTATCACAAATTTGGGACCAAGTATCGTCATCGAGCGTGGTTAGGAGATCTGTGTGCCAGCGATCCATATAGGTGTGATGGGGTGGGCTCGCACTCGACAATAGGGAGGAATACAGTTGTGAAATTAAGCCCGGAGTGTGGGGATCTTGGGAGCATATTCTTTCTTATGATGCCATGCGCGGGGCGGCCAATGGGAATTTTATTTGAGATTGGACGAAATGTTTAATTTGGAGGTACCTGAATAATTCACTTGAAGGGAGATCAAACTTGTTTTGTAAATCAGGAAATGGAAGCACTCCAGTGCTAGTAGTGAGTTTGTTCAGTTGTGTTATCTTGTTGGTGACCCAGTTACGGAATAGTGAGGGGGACTCAATAGCTGGGGAGAACATTGGGTTACGAATGAAGGACATTAAGGGGAGATGTGGGGAAATAAGATCACTAGAGTATTTTTACCGAGTCCCATATCCTGAGGGAGTGCTTGGTGATCCCGCTCTTCTTGCAGGGAGCAGTGACTGTCACTGCCCCCCACAGGGATTACCCCCTCCGTTCCTCCAGCGTTGACTGGAGGGATGGATGAGGGGGGGCGGACACTGCTAGACACAGCTGTCAAATCAGGCATTGGGGTGGATCCCGACAATATTGTCGGGATCCGTCCCCGCTGCAGTGCAGCTCTGCGCTGTCAGCATGTAACATGCAAATTTGGAAAGTGCATTGGGCTGCAGCGAGGGTAGCATGAACTCACTTAAATGCCTGCACTGTTCTGCTTGTTACACTTATCACACAGTTCAAGTAAAGTCTTGACTTGGCTGTAGATTAAAAAGATGGCACGGATGCCTAGATATTTGATGGAAGGCAAATGTTCTTAATGTTTCACAAACATTCATGCTTGGATTTAATTGGATTAATGTTTATGCTTTTGAAGGAGGAAGGGGAGAGCTTATGTTGGAGAACAGTAGCAATCAGTGATACAAATCCAATAAAACTATTCATTTCTTCCTGCAAAATAGACACAGTGATCAATGTCAGATCCAACAGTAGCTGGGTGGATTCTACAGCTATTTTCTTTTGTCTTTTGGCATTCCAGGATGGCATTCCAAGGTTTAAAGTGACACTAAACTCAGGAGTTAAATCTCTAAATACATTCAAGTACCCTAACTATTAACAAGCCACCAATCCAAGCTTGCTCCCATGATAGACTACAAGCTTAATACAAATTAGTACACCTAAGCGTGTGATTGTAGTCCATCATGGGAGTGAGTCTGGATTGGTGGCTACTTTACAATACACACAGGGACCATGGGCAACAAAAGCAGCCACTCTCAATAAGGAAGGACAGTGTCAGCACCAATTCAGAGATGATTTGAGGATCCACAGCCGAGTCATACTCAAATAAGCTATATTTTTGTTAACGGTAAGGTACTTGAAAGTGTTTTTAAGAATTCATTTTTGAGTTTGCAACTTTTTTTTAACTAAAGGATACAGAAATTGCAGATAAGCAGTCTTGATGGTCTCTCTATATTTGATTAATAACAAGGTTAATTAAAGCAGTAATGGGTTAACTAGTTGATTTCACAGAATTAGGTGAAGTGATCATGTATATAGAAAGTTTTTTGTTAATGGCCTGATTTAGCATGTCTCATTTGCTAATGCAAACTTATACCAGTAGTGTTTATAATTATTTTTGTATTGCGTTTTAAAGAGGTAGAGAATGTTTGCTTATGCTCTCTGTAATGGAGCCATTTGCTGCAGCCTATTTTCTTTTAGCTGATTGTGCATTGCCCAGTTGCTTTGAAGAACCTA